GGCCTCCAACCTACTAGCAATGGTCTCCAACCTACTAGCAATGGCCTGCAACGTAATAGCACCTAACAGCAATGGCATCCAATCTACAAGCAGTTCCCGGGCAAGCCGGCGGCGGAAGTTTCCTATAAGAACAAATCTACCTATAGGAGTGTTCCGGTTCTCTCAAACACGCGCGTCCCCCAGTCAAACGCACGCGCTCCGGACTTCAACCTTCAGTACAAACATACCTGTTGACAAAACAATCAACTGTAACCAGTGTTGGGTTATGATGAGTTGCATGATGAGTGATGTATGATGAGTCTTGTATGATGAGGGGTGTATGACGAGTGGTGTATGATGAGTGGTGTATGTTGAGTGGTGTATGATGAGTGGTGCATGATGAGTGGGCAGCGAGAGATGACTCAGCAGCGACAGATGACTCAGTCGCGAGAGATGACTCAGCAGCGGGAAATGACTCAGCAGCGAGAGATGACTCAGCAGTGAGAGATGACTCAGCAGGGAGAGATGACTCAGGAGCGAGAGATGACTCAGCAGCGAGAGATAACTCAGCAGTGAGAGATGACTCAGCAGCGAGAGATGACTCAGCAGCGAGAGATGACTCAGTCGTGAGAGATGACTCAGCAGCAAAAGATGACTCAGTCGCAAGAGATGACTCCTCCGCGTACTAAAGTTGTACTGCAAAATGGCCAGTTCTCAGCTTCCAGCTCCACAGGTTGCTCCGCATATTAAAGTTGTACTACATAGTCGCCAGTTCTCAGCCTCCAGCTCCCCAGATACTCCGCGTACTAAAGTTGTACTACAAAGTGGCCAGTTCTCAGCTTCTAGCTGCACAGGTTGCTCCGCGTACTAAAGTTGTACTACAAAGTCGCCAGTTCTCAGCGTCCAGCTCCACAGGTTTCTCCGCGTACTAAAGTTGTACTCCAACGTCGCCAGTTCTCAGCTTTCAGCTCTACAGATTGCTCCGCGCACTAAAGTTGCACTAGAAAGTCGCCAGTTCTCAGCTTCCAGCTCTACAGATTGCTCCGCGTACTAAAGTTGTACTACAAAGTCGCCATTTCTCAGCTTCCAGCTCTACAGATTGCTCCTCGTACAAAGTTGTACTAGAAAGTCGCCAGTTCTCAGCTTCCAGCTCTACAGA